TTCGGGCAGTGTGTGTGTGACCCCTGGCCTTACTGAGGTCATAAAGATCAATCTGCTCTTCAACAGAGATGCTTCTATGGAATACGAAAAAGAATTCGTCTTCTCTTAAAGGGAGTATTCTTTGTTTTCCTTTGAAGGTAGACTAGCCACCTGCATCTGGGATTAGAGTATTTTAAATAAAGACCATGGTGTGTATGTCATCAGACCATGGCCTGCCGATACGTTCATTTAATTTCTCTTTCCAAAACAAACTAGATTTAGAACTTTACTTCTACTGCTGCCCCAAAGAGTCACTTTCTCAGGAAATATGTTGGCAGCAGTATGCTTCTCATGTAGAAACATATCCTGTTGTCTCCTTCAATATTAATGAACATACCACTGCCAAATCCATAAATGTAGTGATTTTTTCTTTTTAATATCCACAGATATGACTTCATTTCTTGGCTTCGTGGATCATGTTGAGGGACCTATACTGATTTGAAAATGGGCAGAACTTTTTATTTGGATTTGATGGTGATCTCTTTGTCTTTAAGGTTTCCCCCCCCCCCCAATTTTTAAATTGTCACTAAAATACACATGACATAAAATGTACTGTCTTTACCATTATTAAGTCTACAGGTCAGTGGCATTAAGTATGTTCATGGTGTTGTGCAATGATCAGTGCCACCCGTCTCCAGAGTGGAGGGACATGGGCTGAGGAAACCTTTCAAAGATCCTCCAGCCAGCAAGGAACATGAAGACACCTCTCTCTTCCTGCCCCTGCTAGGGCCTCAATTGAATCAGAAGCTAACACCTTTCTCACTGTCCCAACTTGAAAAGAAGTAAGTTTTCTGGTTGGGGACAAGAAAACGAAGGAAATACAAGGACCAGAGTCTGAAGTCAACTTCTCCTGCGATGCCGGGGATGTCGCATTTGTAGGAGAAACAAGTACTCTCCTGCAGTGTCCTTAAGCTGGTAGAAACAGCAGCCTTGGAGCACAAGCTTGCTGAAAGAACCAGCCCGGCCCCATTCCCAAGGTTTTCCACTTCAAACAAAGGGCAGAGGGCATTGTCACTCCTGTTACCTTTCCCTACGGCAAACATGGCATGTCAGCCACTGCCACGTTGCACAGTGAAAGGCAAGGCGAGTGCCAGAGCACTTGGCTGAGAAGAGCATGCCAGGGACAGGTTGTCCATTGTAAAGGAAGCACTCACAATGGACCTGTTCAACCTGATTGCAAATGACTGCAGAGTGGAGGGGATCCCCAAATCTAAGTAATGTAAGCCTCATCTGGCTCTGTATCTACAGAATGTGCATAATGTCCCACTTGAAAAATCCAGTTTGCCAACACTCAACTTCTTAAAGGAAGGGTTCCTCTTCCCTGCCCACTCTCCTAGGTTCCCTGTTTTGTATTGCAGTTCCCATTCTAGCAAGGACTTAGGGTAACTGCCTGTTTTTTCACACTGGGAAGCTGGAGAGCAGTCCAGCTGACCCCTGAACATGGGGTTCAGAGGCGCCAATTCCCTACGCAGCTGAAAATTTGCATGGAACTTTTAACTCCTCCAAAACTTAACTGCTAATAGCTTACTTTTTTTTTTTCAGCTGAGCCATCCTGCCACCTGTTGGCAACTCAGCGGCTGCTCAGCTTGGGCCGGGACTCAAACCGCTGTTGCTCAGAGCTCGCACTCTTGAGCGAGCTCTTAACCAACTGAGCCACTCGGCCGGCCCACTAATAGCTTACTTTTGACTAGAAGCCTACAGATAACAGAAATAGTCGACTAACAGAAATTTTGTGTGTTATATGTATTATATACTGTATTCTTAAACTAAAGTTGGCTGGAGAAAAGAAAATATTAAGAAAATCATAAGGAAGAGAAAATATATATACAGTATTTATTGAAAAAAATTCATGCGCAAGTGGACATGCGCAGTTCACACCCGTGTTGTTCAAGGGTTAACTGTAGCTTCAAAAAGTGCTTATTTGGGAATGAGGTGGGAAACGAGGTATGGGGGAGAGGGGGCGCTGGACTTGGAATCTAACTCTTCTACCAGCTGAGAAACTTCAGGGGCACAAATAAATTGTTCATCTACCTAAACGACAAGAAAAACCAAAACCCCAAGCCCTGTCTTTTCTATTCTCCTCAAAGGGCTGGTGAGGGTTAAGTGAGAGAATTCAGGGGAGCAAAGTTAAAGTATGATCAGTAGCAATAGTAACAATATTAATCTTAAGCATGGCAGGTACGCATGGTAGGGAGAAGCTGTTTCATGGTAGTGAAAGCAAACTGTGGGTGGTTATGGAAACATTAGGAAAGGTCTGCCAGAGTAATTAGGATTTACTCAGTGGGCCATGAAAAGAAACTGAAGGCTTCTTAGGATGGCATCATACAGTGAATACATTTCTCTAAAGCCAGTGTAAAGAGCAGTAAGACCAATGAGAGGGACCAGGGAGCAGAGAGGAGGCTTGCTAGGAAGACAGTGCAATAATCTACACATGTAATGAGAAGGCCTGAAAACTTAAGAGTGGCAATGAGAAGGAATCAAACAAAAGATGTTTCTTTCTGTTAAAAATAAGTTAGCAATTTCCTAATGTTCTTTTTCTAATTCTAAATGTTCAAAGAAGAAAATTCGGAAAAATACAAAATAGTAGAGAGAAGAAAATAAAAACCACCTGTTACCACTGTTAATCTCTTGACAGATCCCCCCCCTCCCTCAGTCTCACAAATGACATTCCCAGGGGCTTGGAGACTAGCTAGCCTGGATGCATTCAAATAAGTATGCGAGGGCGGATTGAGTTCAAAGTTTTGACACTGCGAAGAGAGTGCTGCTATTACAGAGACAGGAACATATGGAAACAAACAAGAGACATGAGGTTAGGGAAGGTAAGCACCCAGCAAAAGAATGCAACAGGCAGACCTGGAACAGGCTGAGCTCTTGATAAGGGGACGGTGCTAGGGAGAGCCCTTCAACCAAATTCAAGACAGCCAGACACTGGATTTTATTTATTCTCACCACAAAAAAAAGAGTATTATGTGACGTGACAAAGATGCTAACTATCGCTGTAACGGCAATCGTATTACAACACAGAAATGATATCAAATCAACGTGTTGTACAGCAAGTCCTCACTTAACATCTTTGATACTTTCTGTGACTTTAAGCAAAATGAGGTATAAGAAAACCAATTTTACCATAGGCTACTTGATACAAACACGGGTTCATTTCCTATGGCATCTCGTCAATGTTATAAGGAAAGACATGGAATGAAACAATGTTATTCGAGGACCTGTGGTATACCGTCAATGTACACAATGTTAGATATCAAATATATTTCAATAAAAAAAGAAAGAGAGCCAGGATCTGTAGTGAGGGTGGCAGTGGCTGCCTGAGGGTGTTGGTGGCAGTACAGTAGGGTGACAGGACAGTGGATCCAGAGACCCTGAAGCCAGCCCAGGTTACTCTGCAGCAGGAACCAACTCTGAAGAAAGATGGCTGTGGGAAGGTTGGGATTCTGACCCTTACTCTCAACTCAAGTCACAATACACACAACTGTGCACACATACACACATATGAAGGCGTGTGTGTCAGTTTCACAACTAAAACTTAAAAAGTAACTGAAGCGCTTAGGAAAAGCAAAACTCACATCATTGCAAATTATTTTATAATTGGATTAAAAAACAAAATGAATCTGGACTCCTTGTGGCCATTAATATTCATTGGATGAAAGTTATTTGTGTCTACAATCTGGAGTAGAAAGATTAATGTAGCAACATGCAAGAAAAAATCTAGAGGTACTGAGTCTGTTCACATTTGCAGAGATCTGAGTATGATGTGAAAAAACTGCATTTAATTCTCCACACCTATTTTACATTTACAGCTAATTTGCCATAATTTTGGCAAAAGAATCCAAATAGTGTACCCACTTCTACATAAGTGGGCTTATTATATGTGCATTTAGTCAATTTGCCCGGTTAACTATTAAATGAATGCTCAAACTGCTTTAAACATTTAAATATTCAGTGTTCTGCCCAGGAAGCCTTTTACAGTTTTATCCTAGCCTGTGGTCAAAGACTACAGGGTCTAACCCAGTTATCTCTACTACTAGTTATATTGTTAATGGGATTAGAATGGATTGACAAACCCCATATTAAAAAACAACAGCAACAAAAAAACAGCTCTTAGCATTTTTTTTTAAAAACACAGGAACACTGTGACTAATGTAATACTGGAAATATTTCACTCCTTCAGTGCTGGCGGTATAATACATAGAAACAACTTTTGACAAAAAGGCATCTGGTACTATGTATTCAAAGCCACACAACTGTCTATATATCTTTTAGTCTGGTAATCCCATTCCTGAGAGTTTATTCTAAAGAAAAAAACATCCGTCAAAGAAAAGAGCTAACTGCATACAGGTGTTCACTGCAACATTACCTACCTTATCAAAACACAGAAACAACCTAAATGTCTATTGATGGAAAGTGCTCAGGCATTTGGGAGGAAGAGGGTATATTTCTGGGGGCGCTGCTTACGGTGTGGAAAAGGCAATGGGACAAGGTAAGAAAGAGAATGGACAAGAGTGTGTTGAGTTAGTGACGGGCATTAGCAGAGTGTACAAACCTCTGACCTTGTGATTAGACTACAGCAAGTCACCATCCAGGGCTTGGCATAGTAGAGAAATGTCAAAGCTACCAAAGGAAAACTTAAAAAAAAAATGATAGCCTTGTCAACTACTTATCAACAGTCATCGAAAAGGAGGCTATAATGATAGAATGAGGTAAAACTAAAAAACTGAGAGACTCACCTATGAAGATCGTATATACACAGGATTTTTATGGCTGCCTCGCTGAACTACTGTAGACTCCCTTCCCTCCCAGCACCTTAGTAACCATGCGCAGAGGTTTCAAATATCAAAAATCTCCTACCCACCGGCCTACAGAAGAGCCATGTGAAGTTCTGTGTTTTCATAATTAATTTCTAAACTACAAAAGAATAAATATGTTACTGATGATGGTGAAGAACTTACAAACTGGAAGCAGCTTCTGACACTCGGCTCAATGTTACTGCCCCCGAAGGATGCAACTTCACCCAACTGTCTTGGGATCTGGATCGAATCATGCAGAAGGAGGCCCAGCCTGCGCTGGTCACAAAATCCTGTTGAACTTGCCACTTGCTTGAAAAGGTCTACAAAAGGAAGAAGAGGAGTGTAACCATCAAAAAGCAGCACCAAATCGATGCTAGCAGTACCTCATGGCCAACTCAATTCTGGTACCAATTCTCCCACAGAGAGGGGTTACTTTTCCAGTATGTTAATCTAGAAATCTAGTATTTTTATGGATGAAGTTAATCATCATTGTGTACCGTATTTGCCGGCGTATAAGACGACCCCCTAACATTTCCACTCAAAATACAGAGTTTGTTATATGGTCGGCTGTGTGCGATTTTGCGAGTGTGGTAAAATCGCATAACAGCAAAATCGCATAACAGCCGAGCATACACGCAGCAGCGCTGCTGATGCCTGAACGGTATGTGGAATGAAGTGGGCGGGCATCGGGAGGCCACTATGGCACGGGGCAAGCACTATGGGCAGTCTATCTGAAGTGTACCTGGCGTATAAGACGACCCCCCACTTGGAGGCATATTTTTCAGGGCCAAAAAATCGTCTTATACGCTGGCAAATACGGTATATATGAAGTGTGACAACTTTTAAATAAATTATAGCCCTGCAAGAAATGAGTTCACATACAGTCCTGACACCTGAGCTTTTCCTCAGCCAGAACATAATCCTTTGGGAAATATTTTATAGATAGGACATAACCACTTTAATAAAAATAACTGTTGTAGCATTAAGAACCATGTAACTAGCCCCAAACACCATTCCCTTTGGACATCAGAGATTTTAAAATGTACCAAAATTAGGACTTCGTCATGAAGTTATAAGATCACTGAGTTGCTTATATGTGCTCCCACAGGATGCTGTATGTATTTGTAATTAGCTCGTATCACTTTACACTGTCACGGATTTAATATGTGTCTGTCTTTTTGGCTGAAGAACGATATCCCTTTGAGAGCAGGGACCATATCTGGGTCAACTGTGTGCCAGAAGGCTCTAGAATAGAACAGTAGTACCTTGTAGATAGCAGGTGTCCAATACATGTGGGTCCACAGAATGAATGAATATACCAAACACTTGTAACATGTGTTTTGTTCTCAGAAAAATCATTTTAATCATACTTTGCATTCAAATAAAAGCTGCCCAAAAGAGTAAATCCAAGAAAGGCTTTTCTACTCATAAGCACACTTTAAACTCTAAGACAGTAAATATTTTAACGATACCTAAGATGGCAATAACAAAAATGAGATTGTGCACACCGCCTTTTATCATCTCTCCAATAAACACACATAGATTTTTTTTGTTCAAAATTGTGAATTATTTTCAAACATCCCAGTTTGAAGTTAATATTTTTGTTTCACCAACATCAAAACCCATTCCCTCTTAGTAGTTATTTGAAACCGGCTCAAAGCTCCCTTGATGATTCAATTTAGTATTACAATGTGCTGGTACTATGCCCATCATAAAGTTAGATTATCAGCTAACCTATTATAAGTCATTACAATATTTAAAGGAAAAAAAACCCCCACAGAAATATTGTATTGTATCCAAAAGACATTTTTTAAATGGTTAACAAAATCTGTTCAGTTATTTTTCTTTGGCCCTTAGGGTGAGAAAACTCAAGTCAAAACTACATAAAAGTCAAAACCAAAAAGGCGTGTGTATTCTGTGGCTTACTCCTAGGGGGAAATTGAGCAGTAGGACACAGAGTGGCTTCGGAGGAATTTAATCTCTTTTATCTCCTGCCTGTCCTGAAGCTCAGCACATCTCCTCATCCCTGTGAGGCTATGCCTTAGGGGAAAAGAAAAAAGACAAAACAGACTAGGTTTCTTTAATATTCCAACTGAAGAAGATTTCTTACAAGCATTTAAAGGGGAAAACACATACAGTCCTTCATAATGGGAATGAACGGTCGCTTAGTTATCTCAACCATCACTCCTCTTGCTTTTCAGTTGGATTTACAAATAATAAGCAGAAGAACCCAATGGCTAATCAATAGGAAATTCTATAAGGTGATATTTATCCTGTAAAAAATGGCGAGCTGTGTGTCTCTCAAACAATAAAATGTTAGTCATGTCCCAGAACTGGCTATGCCAGTCCACCTTGCAGTAAGATGATTACCAAATAAACAATGTTTCTTGAACGTGAATGCCAGAGAGTCCTCTTTAAACAAGAATTCAAAGACTAGGCAAGAGCATGGATTAAACCATCACCTTTCTTTTTCTGATTTATACAAAGGAGTTAGGAAATCAGGCTTTATCCCCTAGGAACATGTGTTTTATTCAGACACAGTCAACGCAATGTAAAATAATACTCGAACTGGACAAGTGAATCTTCATTCTCCATTTAAATGCCTGCAATTTAATGTTTGACAGGGAATAGCACAAACCACATTTTATGACACTCTAAAAGCAGTTGTACATTTTACGAGTAGGACCTTCTGTCAAATAAGAACCTCTGTCATTCCCCATCTAGAGCTGGGGTAATTAGCCAGCATTAATAAAAGAATACAAAGTTAATATACATGACTTACATCTGTACTTGTCTTCCAAATGTGCTTTACACAGAGAAATAATGCCAGTTTTAAAAGACAGGACCCGGATCCTCCCTGTTCGTCCCCTATTATGAAAAATCAAACGAAGAAAATAATTACTGACACTTTCCTAAACGGTACACACTTCTCAGCTAAGAAAACAACCTTGGATATGGGAAACTTTATTGACCATTATTTTATTAAGAATAAGAACTTTTCTGAATTCCTCATCTATTTGGCTGATGACTTACAGTGCGATGGAAATTTGACCAACTTGACCAATGACTATTTACCAAGTTTTCAATTCTTAAAAGCCCTTACTTGAATTTTAAGAGTGGCTCTACACAAAATCGGAAACATATCCTTCTATTCATCCATGGAAAGCTACTGGGTTTAAGTTGGTAAGTGGGGTAATTACTACTATGCACGAAGCTATTTTGGTTACTGAAGCCCCCTCCAATTACCAGCAACTAACTATTAAGCCCTCTTCAAAACTCTTTTAGATTTTCATCAGATTGCCCTTCCTGAGAAGAAAATTAACCACTTCAGGCCACATGACACATAATATAAAATATGAACATTTATCTCCACAAGAAAAATATGCTATGCTCTATTACACAGCATTCAAATATATGATCTTAAAGAGCAGTTTTAAAATAACCTATTGCTATGTTAATATATATGTGTGTGTGTATATATATATATATATATATATATACACACACACACACACACTTTAAGTTTACATGAAAAGCAGAAATAAAGGATTCCACATGACAAATTTATTAACAAGTTCATTATATCCATGGGAAAAAATAAAAAATTATAATACAAAGTTTTTCATTTTGTAGAAAATGACTTTCAATAATTTTCAGCTTTTATTTTGCTATGGAAAGCAACTGAACCTTAGATGTTGGTTTAAAAAAAAAACAAACTAGACTTATTCTCCCAACTAGCACTTTGAAATTACAAACGATAGGCCCTAATTGTGGTTATTTTTGGTGAACAATATATTGAACTTTCAAGTGGTACAATTTCCCAAATCCCTTAGTCTAACAGAAATCCTGGATTCTAATGCATTCACAAGGTTACTATCATCGGAAGGCTTTTCTTATCTTTCCCTCCTCTTTAAAAAAGGCAAACCAGTGTAACAAATTATATAGTAACTCAGGTCTTCCAGGAATTAAACTGTCCCTAAATAATTTTCAGGCAGGTAGAAAGGAAGTTATATAGTACTCAGAATCCATTCACATGTCATCTGTCAATGAAATGGTGCTAAAATCTAATTGAGGGGGAAACCTCAATGCAAACCCTTATCCAAGCAAATGTAAGTGCCATCCACAATTAAAACCTAGTGGAACAAAACCTAGTATGTTCGCCGGCTGAGTGGCTCAGTTGGTTACGAGCTCACTCAAGAGTGCAAGCTCTGAGCAACTAGCAGTTCGATTCCCGGACCGAGCTGAGCTGCCGCTGAGCTGCCAACACATGGCAGGATGGCTCAGCTAAAAAACAACACAAAAACCCCCCACAAAAAAACCTAATATGTTCAAGGGCTTGGTAAGTAAGGATCAGAATTCAATACCCAGGTGATCTCACAATTTAAAAAGCAATACCTTATCAAAATAACAAAGAAAAAAGGCACTTTTGATCCAGAAGGTGGTAGAAATCTATAACATAGGCAAATGGCAAAATAGTTGATATGCAACTCCTTTTAGAAAACCTTCCCAGGTTTCCAAATGGGGATATGTTCCTGTTGACATGTGAAATGAGGCATGTAATACATAATTCTAAGGTCTAAGAAGAATTCAGTCAAAATTGAGACCGATTCCTTCTGCTACATTCCTCAATTATCTTCATTAAGCTCAAGACAAAAATTAGAACTGGAGGTCTCTCCTGTGTGCAATCCCACAGAAATAAACAAGTGCTCTCTGAGTGAGTGATAAATAGAGATGCCAAACGGAAATTTCGTAAAACCTTATTAAAAAACCAAACAAACGAACAAAAACTTCCCCAATTTGAGGAGCTGAGTTTGCTGCATTAAGGACTTGTTTTCTTTCATTTTGTTTGGCTTATCAATTCATAATCTTTGCAAAACTCTCCTGAGTATCAGCTAACACTATTGACATCAGGTGACAGGTATGCCAGCATCTCCAGGGGCACATCCATTTCTTCCCGAGAGGGGGGATCCACCCCCGACGTGGATGGAGGAATTCAAGATACATGGACTAGACAGGGAAAGAACCAACAGCTCCACACTGACACCTTCTATTGGGTTGTTGGAAAAGTCATGACGCACTTTTGCAACGAAAAACAGAAAAAACACGTCATGACTTTTCTGACAACCCAATACTATTTGAGAAAAATGAGTATCTCAGGGTTTTGTTTTTCTAATCCGAGAGCAGGCTGTGTTCTAGCTGTTACCTATACCAAAATATGTTTCAGGTCCAATAAATGCAAAAATGACTTATCACAGGGACAGCATTAGGTCACAAGGCTTCGGGAAACTCTCATCCCGAGGACCGTATGACTAGACTGGGGCCCTGTCGTGATGCTAATTAAACCGTCACCATTCCATAAACTAAGCCCCCTGTGACAGAACCGGAACAATAAGCTGGCCATACGTACGTGTCATAAACATTCAGCAGCCAATTGAGACACATATCCACGCAGAGGGGGACGTTGACCAGATTGTTGTGCTCTTGCTCCAGGCGATCATAAACGGTGGTCAAACAATTAATGATCTGCAGGATGTCCATGGGCTGGTCATTTTGCTTGAGGTTGTGCTGGTCCAAGGCATCACACGCAGCTGACAGGCTCAAGAGATCCACTGCAAAAGCCACATTCAAATCACAGGTGATTCAAAGGGGGAAAAGCCTCCTCTGACTCTTTTTCCTTTTCCTTTGACAATCCTGGCAGAGTTGTCTCGTACCCTTTAGTAAACACCAAACCCGAACCCTACCCTCTTTTAAAGTACAGTAATACCTTGGTTTGCGAGCACAATTCCTTCTGGAAGCAAACTACTTGTATTGCAAGACATCGCTCGTTTACCACGTTAAAATGTATTAGAAATGTTTGCTCGTCTTGTGGTACCCTCGCAAACCAAGTCACTCGCAATCCAAGGCTTTACTGTGCTTTGTTTCCATCCCTCAGCTCTAAGTTTGATGAATCTGACAAGCGTTCAGGATCTGAGGTTGTCCTCACATCTCACTGGCACTGACTGGGTGAAAATGTAGGCAAAGAGACAGTTCCTATTCCTGCAGTATTGGGGAATATGTGAGAGTAAAGGGGACCGCTCATGTTTTACAGAAGCTGAGTCATTTCCAACTGAATAAAGAAAAAACTATTTTGCTAGAGATTTCAAAAGAGTTCCTGACAATACTTGCTTGTGTGAGTAGTAGAGAAGGTCAGTTTGATTCATTTGTATGGTTAGGGTTGTGTAAACTCTATGACCAGATATAATCATTAAATACTCTTCTCCTTGAAATACCAGTCACCTCACCATCTCTCTGCTACCTTACCATTAGGTGAACAAAGAATCAACTTCACGAAAATTTTCCATAAGCAAACTAAAGTCACTGCACAATCTATCCAGTTTTCAGACCTGAGGCTTGCCTATTTCTCCTTTCACTTTCAAATTGTATTTCACATTGTACTTTTCACATATCAACCTTGCCCAACATCAGCAAACTTCAAGCTTTACTCCCAAGTGGCATGAAGAGATGCTTTTTTTCTAATGCCAATTTATTAGCCAAATTGGAAACACAACAACACGCTTGTACAGCATCATATACATATAAACTCTGGTCTGAATTCTCCGTCTTTTGAGAAAAAAAAATCAATGGTGATTAAGCAAATTTCTCACGCATTTAGGGGCAAGAGGCAATACAATTATAAGGTAACTGCAGATAGACACTGGCTATCCCAGCAGTAAACAGCCTGCCCAGTACTAAACAGATGCAAATTTAAGGCTTTAATGTATTTGACTAATTACTGGTGACTAGTTCTAATTCAATGGTAAGGGGAAAAAACAGTGGTTAATACCCATGTAGGTTAATACCTATGTAGTGCATGTTTTCCTCTTTTAAAAAAGGAAAATGGTTCACTTTGGAAGTTTCCCTGGAAGCATGAAGGAGACCTGGTGGTGCAAACAGGAGAGTTTTTGTCTTTCATCCAGTGAGTACCCATTTCCCTAAAATGTCCTGGATGAGCCCTCATCCTATTGAAGCAAAGGCTGTGGGGGAGGGAAAAAATTTTCCTCTACCCTTTTGAGTTCTTCTGGCTGGTCTAAGAATTAAATTGATATGAGCCAGATTAACAGGAGGGGAAAAAATTAATTTCATACATATGGGGAATCCACATAAACATGAAAATTCCAAAGACAGTAAGGCAAAGTGAGGTATATATGTCATTCTGGACTAAGGAGGAGGAGAGAAAGGTCTGGAACTTCAAAGGGAAGTAAGGCAATTTACAGGAAAATGAAGAGGGTTAATGTTTACTAAGAGTATGTTTGCTAGGCCGTACAGAAACAGTGGGACGCAGAGAGGACTCTGATCAAATAAATGGGCCTTGCTAGGTTCCTCCCTGTCTACCACACCTAGCTCATATTAAACTATAGTTATCTATGATGATAGCTCCCTTCCTGGAGCAGATCCTCTATCTAAACTGTTTAAGGCAGTTAGGGGGAGGTCAAAGGTTCTTCCTGAGTCTTCTTTCAGTGCCTTGATTGTTTTCAGCTCAAAATATTCCACATGCCACAGTGACACATTTGGGGAGGGCAAATTTTACTACCCTAAAGGTTCCCACGCCTTTTGCTAAAAAATATGCCCAAGATAAAGAAATAATGTCTTTACATGGAAGCCAGGACTTTGTTTCAAGTGGCAGAAAGGAACATAACTTGATTTGAGAGGGAGACACGTAGGAAAAAGAATAAAGAATTTTAAAAAAATAACAATGCTGGGGCGGCCGGTTAGCTCAGGTGGTTAGAGTGCAGGCTCATAACATCAAGGTTGCCGGTTCGATTCCCACATGGGCCAACGAGCTGCGCCTTCTACACCTGGATTGAAGACAACAGCTTGACTTGGAGCTGATGGGTCCTGGAAAAACACACTGTTCCCCAATAACATTTCTTAAAAATAAAAAGATAAAAACAGAAAAATAACAATGCAAACAGACAGGAGAACATGAGGAGGAAAGACTGAGCAGGGACTGCCCTGGGAGACTGGAGAGAGGCACAAAGCCAAACGACTCAAACTTTGATTTTCTCGTCTGCTTGATTTCCTACATGGGCACATTTCCAGGTGCAGGTACTGAGTACATTTATAACAGAAACACAGCACAGCATTTCCATTAGCGGAAGAGAGGAATGGGTTTCTTCTAAATACCAATATTCCCAACATGTTTTTTTATATATTGAAGGAATCTATGGGGGATTTGAAATTTTTCTATTATTTTCTTTCTTGTTACTCTGTCTTAATCATTATAAATATTTTGCTTTATAGTTAAGGGTATGAGAACTAACAAGTGAAAATTTTTAGGCTCACTTCTGTACTAAGAATCTCATTTACCCATGTGATAGAAACAAAGAGACAACAAAATTGCATGAATTTGTTTTTATTTGGTCTACTCTTATCTCTGTACAGGTGAATGGGTAACACACAGAATAGAAAATTTGGAGTATAAATAGCTCCGGAGGGGAGCAAAGCAATTGCTCTAAAATAACAGGAGCAAAAGATGACAGTTAAGAGAGAAATGCTGTGCAGAGTACTGTTAAAACTGGATGTGGTTAAACACAAGCACGCTCCATCGCAGAAGATTAGAGAACACATTTCCCAGAACAAACATATCAAACAGAATTCCACTTTCATGGGACAATTTTTAAAAGACTTCTATTTAGGTATGCACAGCTGATACTACGGACTTGCAAAGAAGTGAAAAAAAATCAATAGGAACAATTTAATTGCCACACAGACATACACTTAACTGTTCAAAAGGGACATCTTAAAGAATACATTGAAAGTTTTTGATGAAACATTAAACATAATGATTAGCTGTTTCTAGAAGCCTCGATAAGCAACCAGCAGACAGAAGTTTGCGAAACTATCCTTTAACCTCAAGCTAGGAATTTCCATTTAGGGGAAAAATATATATCCTTTAGAGTATTCACTAGGACATACATTTTGAAACAATATAAAAACCAAAGTATGTTCTAATATACCCTCTCTTTCAAAAAGTATTTTTATAGTAGAGAATGCTATAGGTTTTGATGCCACTGAAGAATGGGGACCATTCAGTGGTCCTCCTAATGCATGAGGGCTGTGGGGGTGACAGAGGGTGGAGACAGGACACAAATGACTGGCTCTCCAGTATCCTCTTTGCTATGCTGGAAAAGCAAAAAATGGAGGGTGGGTGACTTAAGCACAGGATCCCCATTAATGGTTCCTGATGCTCTTGGTTGTGCCTAATCATCCTCTCGACATTCTAAGTTCAAATGCTAACTGTTCCTCTCTCCACATGTCACAAGCCAGGAGGTGAGGCAGGTTTTCTCTGTCTTTTACAGAACCATAGGCTTTGAGAGCTGGACAGCACCTTTAGAAGTGTTTGCAGTTGAGTAAACTGAGGCTAAAGATAAGAAGACTTGCTGTGGGTGTTAAGGCAAGACACCCGGACTCTCCAATTCCTCATGGGGGTACATACTGAAAAGCAGAAAGGGGGTAGCAGAAGGTGTCCTTACAGACTTTACTGAAAAAGAAAACCATTCCTCATTCCCTACTAGTGATAACAGTAGGAGAAAAAAAGAAGCACCAAAAAGGGCCGGCCGAGTGGCTCAGTTCGGTTAAGGGCATGAGCTCTGAGCAACAGGGTCACCGGTTTGATTCCCACATGGGCCAGTGAGCTGCGCCCGAGCTGAGCTGCTGCTGAGCTGCCAACAGGTGGCAGGATGGCTCAGCTGGTATGATCATGTGCTCTTAACAACAAGGTTGCTGGTTTGACTCCCACATGGTACCGTGGGCTATCCACCCACAACTAAGATTGAACACGGCACCTTGAGCTGAGCAGCCTCGAGCTGCCGATGCACGGCCGGATGGCGACTAGACTTGGAGCTGAGCTAGCTGCGCCCTCCACAACTAAGATTGAAGGACAACAACTTGGCTGTTCCCCTTCCCCAATTCCCCAATAAAATCTTAAAAAAAAAAAAGCACCAAAAAGTTGGTTAGAATATGTCCCATGGTGCCCATACCACATAACCCCAAGCTCATCCCATGGGTCAATGTGAATACTCTGTGTTAATATATAAACAATCCTGTAACCTATCAGTGCACACAGAGACAGAAGGGAGTTATGGTGGGATAACTGCTATGGGTTTGCTGACTTTTTTTTTTTTTGCCCAGGCAGCAGAAGGCACCTGGGAAAAGAGGAGGCTGTTGTCGACATCAGACCAACTCACTGTATAGGCAGCTTCCACATCAGGCGGAAGGATTTTCCAAGCAAATCTTTGCCCAACAAGAAAGTCAAGACACTTTGATGTAGTTATCTGTGCTGAGAGTCAATTCCAGAGACGCTGGAGTCGGCATGAGATGTTTTGCTTAAATAGCTACATAATGCAGAGCCTGGATCAAAGCAGTGAAAAGAAGTAACTTTTTGTGTTGTGTAGCCACGGGTTCTACTGTATGTTATCACTACTGTTTATTGCTAGCAATAACATTGGTCATTTTTACCTGGTCTCAGTGAGACCTGTGCAGGCCACTGGGTTTGGGACTGGCCACATAGGAAAAATACGCTCAGGTGACCAGCAGGCTATAAGAAACCCTAGCTAAGACTCCAATATGT